CCACCGTTTTCCCTCAATCGAAGATTAAAGCGGTAGGGCTGTAAGGACATGAAATTCAGGTTATGCTCATCCTGGGCTAAATGGGCTTCTTAGGAAGCATTTGTATTTGTGAAACAGCTGTGGGTCTCAAAGTGGAGAAGGGCAGTATCAGCATCGCCTGAGAACTTTTGATTAATAAGAATGCCGGCGTCTCCGCCCAGATGTACTGAATCAGAAACGGCAAACTGAAGTTTGAGAACCACGAATAGGGTGGCACGGTTTGGGCTTTTGGTATTATTTTCGAGAAATCTAAAAGGAAACCATTCCCAATGGAACATTTCATTGGAAAAGTGGCAGGGCCTGGACAGTTGAAATACTGCTAATCTTAGAGTTTGCCATATGACGATGCAGGTTAACTATGCAAAATTATTTCAAGCCGGGAAATAGTCTGAAGAGAAGAAAGCCTTCATTAGCACAGTAAGTTTTTGCAACCTTCACATAATATCTTCGATTAGAGTCCCCAGAGTATTTTAAGATTAAACTCCCTTAATGGTTTCTTTGTCCCTCTTTGTCCATTTATTTTGCTGGCCTGCTTTTCTTTTTATCTTCTTTCAACTACTTGCCTTTCACTCTCTCTTCTGGTCGATTCCTTCCACTTCAGTTTACAGTTGAAAACATGTCCCCCTTTTTCTTTTTAAATATCCTCTTTTTTGCTCAACATTTTTTCCCTGTAGAACGTTGGAGCTAAAAGGACTGTGGACATCAATCTCCCTTTACTGTCTGCAACAGCATGACAAAAGAGGCAAAAAATAAAGGCAGTGAACAAAAGGGAAAGGGGGTGCCAAGTTTCTTCATTCCCCTTGACAAACCAAATAAAAATGTAAACGTTATCACTAAAGACTTGGGCACGTAGGTAGGATTGGTTTTCCTATTTGAAAGCAAATATAGCACTTCTGCTAGCATTTGCCTCATAAATTGAGACTTATTAATGCTGTCTTTTAGCAATTTTGAGCCAGTGAGTGGTGGAGGCAGCTTCTGTTATGGTCTGAGGGGGGCACACTAGGATTCCCTTTGGGTGAGGCTGTCCCTTGGTCGAACTGCAGATTCTAGGTCTGTCCTTATCTTGGTGGGGGGAGAAGGATTCATATGCTGTGATGAGGACTTCCTCGTGTGGCCTTTGCTATTAATCAGTGACTAATCTCTGTGTCAATGTGGCAAATCACTTAAATACTGTTTATGTTTATTTCAATGAAAAGACACAAACCTCACAGCGTGGGCATTTGTACACATCAGAAATCAATCAGCTAAAGGTTTGCAACACCTGTGCTTTGTCATGCTTCTCCTTTCTTGTTATTTGTTTGTTTGTTTTACACTTTGAAATTACCCACTGAAGATTCGGGCGTGCTCATACGTTTCCCTAAAATATAAATGCTCAAGTCTTTTTTTCGCACTGTTCACCGGGGAAACTACTAGGAACAATTCGTTGGACAACAAAAAAGAATGGAAAATAAGAAATCACTATTCAGATTTTTTTTCCTTAAATCTGACAGATGGCAATCCTCAAAAATACATCTTTAAGTTCTTTTTTAGACTGGAGTTATAGGCACTTGAAGACTTGTTCCCAACTCTTGATGTTATTTTAGAAATTAAATACTCCAAGTATTATTAAGAAATGACATGGGCATCACAGTAACTGTTTTATTGTCAGTTTCAGTTAGATGATGGGTTTTGCTTCTTAGGAAAAGGCATTAAGAAAAGAAGGTAATTTACAAATCTTCATTTCATATATAAATTCTATAATGATGCTATGTATGAAAATACATTGTTTATAGTAGCTGTCATTACTGTTTTGGCTTGAATCAGAGACATGAAAGGAACATGGGGGCTCTGCCACCAGAAAAGACAAGTTGCAATTCTGACTCCAGAATTTACCGTGAGCTATAGTCGTGCCGACACCATGGTGAGAATGTGACGGTGCAAGGACTGGACCAGGGAGTTTTGCTCCAAGGCCTAGGCCACTCTACTACGCTGCCATGGGGGGTGCGGGATGTGGCCTCTTTTATTGTGGGGGAAGATCTGTATTTTTTTTCTTTTGTGCTCATAAGCAATCTCACCACTGTCTGACAGCAGACGAGGGTAGGTTTGCTACAAATAGGGTTAAGGAAGGAATGAGACCGGGTAAAGGCTAGGAAGGTGACCCAGTAAATTCTTCCTTCCATACCCAAAATGCCAGTCTTTGAACCACTTAAATGTGGCACGGACTTAGAAAAATGTAGACCTCTCTGACTTAAGGGTCTGTGCTGGATATCCCCTCAGTCTTCCCTCCAGCTCTATTCTCTGCCCTTCTCCACTCTGCTCTGTGCCCCAGGAGGTTGGGCCTCTGGGGATGTCATCAGTCAGAGTCTCCGGCGCCCTTTGGCTTCCTTTTGCTTTCAGCCAACGGGAGGCCATGAGGAAAAGCCTACAGCGGGACATAAAGGGCAGGAGGAGAGAGACGTTTGCGTGCTTATTCCCCAAGCTCCCTCCTGTTGGCCTTGGACCTGGCAGTGGCTACGTTCCTTTACCCATGGCCACAAGCTGGGCGGTCATTTCTACAGCAACAGCATGTTCCAGGTTCTTGCTTTGCTCTTGTTCTTCTCCCCAACGCTGCTCAGGTTTTGTAAATAGCCTTTTTCTTACATTCTTTTCAAGCACCACTTTTGAATATACCATCTATTTCTCCCAGGATCCTGACCAAACAGGGACCCATCCAGTCAAAGCCACCCTCTGGGTCACTAAATTGGATGTTGAGTGGGGACTCCCGATGGAGGAATAAGTTAACTCCACCTGTTGGAGCTGAAAAGAAAGCTGGGTTCAGTCATTGAACGGCTCTTTCTAGAAGCCTCCTCTGTAGGTGCAAAAGGAGCCTCTGGTCCGTTGGGGGTAAAGGCAAATCAACAATTATGAATGGTGGTGACGGCAGGTGTGAAGGTAAAGAGGCCACAGTTTTTTCTTTTCACGAACTTCAGTGGTCTATTTGATCTTTGGGAGAGAATGTCAAGAGAGAGATCCAGTGGGTGGGCAAATTGAGAAGGACCTAGCGTGATGATCCAGAGTTTGACCTGTGTCCTGAAAGTTCAGAATGTAAGCACGAGTGTGGTTCTGTCATATTTGCCTTTTAGAAAAAGCACTCGGGACATGGAATGGGGGCTGGGTCAGAAGAGTCTGGAATTAGGAGACCAGATACAAGCGGACTACAGGATGACGAGGATCTGAACACTGGTAGTGGCACTGAGTGGAGAAATAATAAGGCTAAACACTACAGGAGTCATGACTGATCAGATGCACGGATGGAAGAGAGGAAAGACCTAGGAGCCTGGGCCTCAGGCTTGGCCACCACTGCATCTCACCACCCTGCCGTTCTGATCTAATTGGCCTTGGGCACTGGGATTTTTAAGGGGATTCTCCTATGCAGCCAAGGTTGAGTCACTCTGCTCTCGGGTGAATCCCAAGCCTGGATGAGTAATATTCGCCAAGCCAGGAATGTCAGGAGAAGGGGGCAGGTCCAGGCAGAAGAGGGTCAGGGAGAGAGGATCAATTCAGTCTTAACCATGATGAGTTCGAGGTGGCAGTGTGATGTAAAAGGCAGCTGGACACCTGAGTCCGGAGCTCAGAGGTAAGATGTCTGGATTGGAGCTATTGATTTGAAATGTCAGTGCTGGAGGGTCAGAGGTGTGGACCGTGGAGGGTGTGAAAGGCCTAGGGCAGAGGGCCAAGCTGCTCTGATGTTCCACAAACACATCCTTTTCCTTTTAGGCTGCTTGAGGTTCAGTGTTAGCCAGATTTTACCCTTACAAAACGAGGAGCAGAAAGGAAAAGGAAAAAGACGGGATGGTTTGCGCTGGGCACTTGCCTGGGGGTGGCCCTGAGGGATTTCACCACCCCCGAGGGTCCAGCTTCCTCTAGCTCCAAGAGTCTCCACCTGAACTGCTTTGTGTTCCCTAGCCCATCTTAAGTATAAGCTGCATCGTTTTATAAAAATCATTTGGAATGTAGGTACTACTTCAATTAAGCATAATAGGAATTTTACAGTAAAACTTCAGCATTTGCATATTTAGCAAACGCATAAGGATTCCATGTTTCTCTGTGCAAAGAACAAGTATGAGCCATGAACCCCAAATCGGACGTCCAATAAATGCTTACAGTGGTGGTGTGTCACTGCTAGTTAGGGCAAATACCATGGTGTACTAATTAAAACATGTGTAACAATCTCTTTAGATCCATCTGAAACCATCATCTTCTGGATATGAGAATCTCCAGTCAGTTCACATTAACTAGTAAATGAAGAGGCCTCTACATTCAGACACAGAGTCCTTCACACCCACACAAAAGCCTATTTTTCCAGGCCCTTCCCCTGCAGGGAGACAGAGTAAGCCAGGCTGAGGAAAGTTCTTTGAGCCAGCTGCCATCCAAACCAGAGATTTCACCAAATAGGTTCCAGATCAAGTCCAACAAGGCTTCCTTCTCATGTGGTTTGCTTTTAATAAGATTTTTCAAAGCTTCCCAGAGCCA